AATATTGTGTACTAATCACAGAGTCAGTGATTAAGGAAAACAGATTCAGAGAACTCTTTTAATATCTTTAACACCAAATATCAAGAAAGTGTTGCATAATTTATTATGTTCTCTTTGCCCTCATAAGAAAAAGAAAGATGGGGTGGGCACCGGGTGTTTCAGTCCAGGTTTTAAAGAACTGGGCCTGACCGTTTGGTAAACATGAATTTTTACTCATGGCAATGTGCGGTTCCATGTATAATGGTATAACCAAGCTGACCAGTTCCGGTTCAGTTTGCTCCGGTTCTACAATAGCAAAAAAAATTCAAAATAGCACTGATTTTTTACCTTCCACAAATTCCAACAAGCTGTAATACTTACTCCATGATGGAATAAGAAAAAATAGTCATTTTTTACTATGTTTCATTAAACAGATGCAATGAAATCTAGTGCATTGTCAATGAAAATTTTGGTAGCTATGATATGGGAAAAATTATAATGTTCACTAATAACTACATCCAATCTAATATGCCAGAAAATCGATGCTATAAATAGTCGGTATGTTCAGTAATTTTAATACCACCAACTAATCAAAAGCGGCTTACTCATTATTCTTTACCGTTTCGGTGTTTGCCTTGTTAACTTGTTGCGTTTCCATATGACTGATGCAATATATTTTTAAAAATCAAGTAGATTAGGTATTTTGATACTAGTTATTAGAACCGAGATTTGCACCCGAACTGCCGGTTCTTGTTTGAAGAACCAAAACTGACCAAAATTTAATTGGAACCGAATCGAACAGGCCAATTTGTTCCAGTTCCGATTCGACTAGGGTGGTTCTGGTTAAAAATGGTCACCCCTTCTAAGAACCATTTGAACCTAGTCATCACAGTTTCTCACAGATCTTCAGCCTTGTACCACGTAAACGGCTCTAGAAACAAAACACTAAATTCAAAGTGCTGCTCACTTAGTTAACATTCATCTACATTTATAGAGCTAGTGAGCAATATCAATGGTGGAGGCAGTTGCCATTAATGAAATTTTCATTAATTTACATCTTAAGTTGATATCTAACTAAAACCACTTTATTAAATACCGAAAAGAACTCTTGTGCTGTGTGCATATTATATAGTAGTCAAGTCCAAAAAATGCATTTAAATATAATTTTATCATGACGATCACAAATAATATAAAGGAAAAATTACATGAGTCCTATGTTTTAACCAAAAGAAGAAACTTTTTTGGACATTGAAGTCTACTTTCAAGTAAAATATTTCCAAAGAAGGCCTAAGCACTTCGAAAGGCATTCTTCTATCATATTTCGAAATATATCAAAGGCATTCCTGCATTTAATCATCTTAATCTATACAAACACAGAGGACTTTCATCTATACTAAATGGATGAAACACACTCAATAGAC